GGGACCTTGAAGGTCATCTAGTCCAACCCCCTGCTCAGACAGGAAACCCTATACCATTTCGGACAAATGGCTGTCCAGTCTCTTCTTAAAAACTTCCAGTGTTGGAGCATTCACCGCTTCTGGAGGCAGGTTGTTCCACTGGTTAATTGTTCTCACTGTCAGGAAGTTTCTCCTTAGTTCTAGGTTGCTTCTCTCCTTGATCAGTTTCCACACATTGCTTCTTGTCCTGCCTTCAGGCGCTTTGGAGAACAGCTTGACTCCCTCTTCTTTGGGGCAGCCCCTGAGATAGTGGAAGGCTGCTATCGTGTCCCCCCTCGTCCTTCTCTTCGTTAAACTAGGCATGCCCAATTCCAGCAACCATTCCTTATATGTTTTAGCCTCCAGTCCCCTAATCATCTTTGTTGCTCTTCTCTGCACTCTTTCTAGAATCTCAACATCTTTTTTACATTGTGGTGACCAAAACTTAATGCAGTATTCCAAGTGTGGCCTTACCAAGGCCTTGTAAAATGGTATTAACACTTCACGTGATCTTGATTCTATCCCTTTGTTAATGCAGCCTAGCACTGTGTTGGCTTTTTTGGCAGCTGCAGCACACGGCTGGCTCCTATTTATCCTACATATCCTTCATCTTAGTAAATTATATTTGCCATTAAATATCACAATCATTTCTCACTATTTCGTTTTACTAACCATCAATAGAAATTATCCCATGTTTTAAAGTAAACTGAGTCTTCTTTCTCTTTAATCTTTAAGGTTAATCTGTCCATTTCTGCACATTCTAAAATTTTCTTAATTATGATCTCTTCAGGTGGTAGGTTTTCATTTTTCCAATATTGGGCAAATGCTATTCTCGCTGCTGTCAATGTATGCAGGATTAAATACTCATTCTCCTTCTCATACTTAGCTCCTAGTATTCCTAACAAAAACAATTCTGGTTTAAATTCTATCTGTATTTTAGTCATCTGTTCAAACCATATATAGATGTTGGCTTTCTTTGTTGACCCTGTTAAAGAAGGTTTCCCTCACCTCCCGTGATTTCTAACAATGCTGTTTTGGAACGATGGAAGTTTTAGCTAAGCAAATCCAAAGGGGTGCATCGTTTGCTCTGTTAATCTTGATTATGCTCAAAACGATGCAAAAAAATGTAGCTGTTCCCCCAGGCCTTGGATTAGGGCAACTTCAACTTCAGCAACTTTTAAGCTCTAAGGACTTCAACTCTCAGAATTCCCCAGCGAACTTGGCTGGGAATTGAAGTCCTCACAGCTTTAAAAGTTGTTGAGCTTGGAAAAGCCTGTATTAGGTTGAACTGAGACCCAGAAGAATCTTATCTCTTAAAGTTCTCGTCTGGGCTTTTATTTTTGCTTTATATTTTTAAATTATTTTCTGCTTTTTAATGGGGTAAGAAGCCATCCAGAGTCTCGTGGAGTTGGGTGGCCTTTTAAATTGCATAGATATATAAAATGAACTGTTGACCATGCAGGCATGTTTATCCTAGGTCAGGGCAACCTTGGCTCTTTTATGACTCGTGGACTTCAACTCCCAGAATTCCTGCGCCAGCATGGCTCAGCTTGGAAACCTCTCCCTTTCCCCTCAGCATGCTGGCTCAGGAATTCTGGGAGTTGAAGTCCACGCGTCATAAAAGAGCCAAGGTTGCCTACCCCTGGGCTAGGTAAATCACTGTCACACTTTGCCACTATACATGGCATGACAGACTTTGGTTAAGCAAAACTGGCCAGCTGTTTTTCTCAGAGATGAGCGTGGCAGAAAGATCCGTGACCTTCGGACCTGCTTCTCGGTCTGCTTTATTTATGTCCCCCCCCCCAAATTAGGTTTTAGTTTATGTGCAAATATGGGGGGGTTGAGGATGCTGATAATTGTAATCTCTAGCATCTGAGGGCTCCAGCTGGAAAGTTTGGTCCGAGTTGTGTCCCTGGAGAGCTAAAAAAATAATAATCTGCTTTCACAGAATCAGCAAGAGGCAGCGACAGCGAGGATGATATTCCCCAAGCAAGGAGCAAGAAGCAAATTATATCTGATTCCGAAATGGAAAGCGATACGGAAGGACAAAAAAGTAAGCAACGCGGCTTTCCCATCTTCTGTTGGGATTGTGCTTTGATTCTCAATGGCAAGAGACTCTTCTTCTCCTCCAGTGGCCTAGCCCAAAAACCTCCACGCTCAGCTGCACGTTTTTAGACCCCCCTCTCCCCCCCCCAAAGTGCCGCAGGTCTGGCTGGAATGTTTCACGGGGCCCTATGGGTGACGTTGAAAGGAGGTTTGATGTTCAAGCATCAAAGGCTTTAAAGCAGGACTNATCAGTCCGACGAGGACGAGAAGCTCCAGAATTCAGACGACGAGGAGCAGATTCAGCATTCCGACGACGAAGAGAAAAACTCGGACGATGAGGAGAGGGCGCAGATCTCTGACAGCAAGGAGAGGCTGGACCAGTCCGATGATGACGAGGAGAGACCCCAGGTTTCTGACGAGGAGAAGCTTCAGAACTCGGAGGATGAAGAAAGGCCGCGAAATTCCGATGAAGAAAACATGCAGAACTCGGAGGACGAGGAGGAACGGGTGGCACGCTCGGAAGAGGAGAAGCTTCTGAATTCGGACGACGAGAGGCCTCAGCATTCAGACGATGAAGAGCAACATTTGTCCGAGGATGAGGAGGAACGCGAGCACAAATCAGGTAAAAGAGTTGAGGATTCATGGAGGGGTGCGAGGTCTATTTCTGACTTAGTCTTCTTTTTTTAAAAAAGTTTTTTTATTTATAAAACAGTTAAAACAAAGATGGACATAACGTAACATTCCAGTGTAAATATTCCTAACAATTTGTTCCTCATCATACATATAATTCTTAATCTTTATATATACGTATTTTTCTATACAATACAATCTCTAATTTGTTTCTCCATATACTAACGTACAGTTTTATATATCTCTATCTTAACACTAACTTAAAACCCGAACAGTTCTCCTTGATTCACACCAACAATAGAATTTGTCCCAGATTTCAAAGTAATCTGACTCTGTCTTGTATGACTTAGTGTTCTTGTTGACTTTCTTTGGTTTTTCTTTTATAGAGAGTTTTATTGAGTTTTATAAGGTTAAGAAAGGGGTGGGATCGGTATGGGAGTTGGGATTCGGGGTAGGGGACAAGGTTGGGGTTAAAACAGGGATGGGATTGGGGACAACAATGGGGTTAGCCCCCATTAACATTTTCACGCTTTAGCAAACAGACTATTGTCCGGGTACATATGTTCAATAACAATAATTAATATAATAGTAAATAGCTATAGTGAATATAAAAAACAATAGTCATGAATAATATCAGTTAATCAATACATATCCTTCAGTAAAATATATTCGCCATTAAATATCACAATCATTTCTCACTATTTCGTTTTATTAACCATCGATAGAAATTATCCCATGTTTTAAAGTAAACTGAGTCTTCTTTCTCTTTAATCTCTAAGGTTAATCTATCCATTTCTGCACATTCTAAAATTTTCTTAATTAGGATCTCTTCAGGTGGTAGGTTTTCATTTTTCCAATATTGGGCAAATGCTATTCTCGCTGCTGTCAACATATGCAGGATTAAATACTCATTCTCCTTCTCATACGTAGCACCTAGTATTCCTAACAAAAACAATTCTGGTTTAAATTCTATCTGTATTTTAGTCATCTGTTCCAACCATATATAGATGTTGGCTTTCTTTGTTGACCCTGTTAAAGATGGTTTCCCTCACCTACCGTGGACTTCAACTCCCAGAATTCCTGAGCCAGCATGGCTCAGCTTGGAAACCTCTCCCTTTCCCCTCAGCATGCTGGCTCAGGAATTCTGGGAGTTGAAGTCCACGCGTCATAAAAGAGCCAAGGTTGCCTACCCTTGTCCTAGGTAAATCACTGTCACACTTTGCCACTCACTATACATGGCATGACAGACTTTGGTTAAGCAAAACTGGCCAGCTGTTTTTCTCAGAGATGAGCGTGGCAGAAAGATCCGTGACCTTCGGACCTGCTTCTCGGTCTGCTTTATTTATGTCCCCCCCCCCAAATTAGGTTTTAGTTTATGTGCAAATATGGGGGGGTTGAGGATGCTGATAATTGTAATCTCTAGCATCTGAGGGCTCCAGCTGGAAAGTTTGGTCCGAGTTGTGTCCCTGGAGAGCTAAAAAAAAAAAAATCTGCTTTCACAGAATCAGCAAGAGGCAGCGACAGCGAGGATGATATTCCCCAAGCAAGGAGCAAGAAGCAAATTATATCTGATTCCGAAATGGAAAGCGATACGGAAGGACAAAAAAGTAAGCAACGCGGCTTTCCCATCTTCTGTTGGGATTGTGTTTGATTCTCAATGGCAAGAGACTCTTCTTCTCCTCCAGTGGCCTAGCCCAAAAACCTCCACGCTCAGCTGCACGTTTTTAGACCCCCCTCTCCCCCCCCCAAAGTGCCGCAGGTCTGGCTGGAATGTTTCACGGGGCCCTATGGGTGACGTTGAAAGGAGGTTTGATGTTCAAGCATCAAAGGCTTTAAAGCAGGACTNTTTGATTCTCAATGGCAAGAGACTCTTCTTCTCCTCCAGTGGCCTAGCCCAAAAACCTCCACGCTCAGCTGCACGTTTTTAGACCCCCCTCTCCCCCCCCCAAAGTGCCGCAGGTCTGGCTGGAATGTTTCACGGGGCCCTATGGGTGACGTTGAAAGGAGGTTTGATGTTCAAGCATCAAAGGCTTTAAAGCAGGACTGGCCTTTAAAGTAGGACTGGCCGCAATTTGTACTGTGGACTGGATCCTTCGCCCTGCTCCAATTTCTCTGAATCTGGAGGTTGTTGCAAATAATATGTAAGGTATGCCCAGATGGCTCCTTCGTTTGGAAGGAAAAGAGAAATCGTGTTACGGATCTTTTTCAAAAGAGTGAATTATTTCCTTCTCAGGTTTCCTCCAAAGTGATTGTCTCACAAAGCCCTATATATATATATATATATATATATATATATATATATATCCCACTCAGCCCTTTAAAAGAAAGGATGTCCTTGTGAAGGGGGTTTTGTGTGTGTGTGTGTGTTACTGTTTTGCCCATTTTGTTTACTTAGCTTTGTAGGTGTGCTGACAATGGAAGCTTGTTCTAAACCTCCTTCTGACGACTCCCTCTCTGATTTCATAGGCCTCTCTCTTTCTGGTTGCCAGATTTGCCCGTATTTTTCAGTTCTCGTAATTCTTCTGTTTAACCTTCTGCTTAAGATAACAGAGACGCGATGGATTTGTTTGGAGGAGCAGACGATATCTCTTCAGGAAGTGATGGAGAAGACAAGCCACCAACGCCAGGGCAGCCTATTGTAAGTAGAGCCCTCAGGGTTGGTGTCAGAGACTAATAAAAAAGAACTCCGAGGCTTGAAAATTCCTCAGAGGACATCTTTATTAGTGACAAAGTATCGGCACGATCAAAAGTGGAACCAAGTCTGAATGCAGAAGTAACAATTGCCCAATTACAAAGTTTAATCTCCCACCCGCAAAACTATGCAAGCAACCACGTTCCCCAATATACTCATTTGGCGGGCTTCTTTATGCAACGCCCTGGTCGCGGGACAGGAGATTATTTTTGACTAACAAGCCCCCCTCCCTCCGTTCTATGTGGCAACCTCGAATGAGAAGAAAAAACGGCTGCAGCCAAGTTCATTGTAGAGTTGACAGTTGGTGGCAAAAAAGAGCCTGCCCTTATCCTTTGAACACGGTCGTCTCAGTAAAAGCCTTGACCTGAAACTTTGAGAGGAGAATTGGATCTTGTAGTTGTCATGGTTCCGACAGATGAAACTCTTCAAAAGAACTTCCAGGCGTTGTTTCACCTTAAAGAATCTTTATTTTGAGTAGCATAACATCGGCACTGCATAATCAAAGCCAAAAACTGAATTCCCCTCCCCTGAGCACATAGTATCAAAGCACAATTCCCTCCTCCAATTAACAGTCATAAATCACATTCTCCAATTAGCTTGAAGCGGGGGCTTCCTCTCCAGTTCTCCAGCCCCTCAATTCCTTATCAACTCTGGTTACAATAACCTTGTTTCTCACGCTAGGTTTAGTGTTGTTATGCCTAGCTGGACTCTCGTTCACGTCCCCCCTCCCAGCATCATCTAACTCTAAAAGCAAAAGGTAAAAAGATGGCTACATTTCCATCTGTTGTCAATGCAAAAACATCCGATGTTAGCAGCGTTGACATCCGCCCTCCCCTTACAAAAAGGATAAATCCTGTAATATAAACAAAAGCACAGGTTAGGGATTGCCTCTCGATTTGTTAGAGTGTTTCTTATAAAACCTAGTAATGAGTCTTATCAGCTTTCACATCGCTAGACTTCACCCAAGTGGCTTCAGACAACATATATCCCTTCCATTGTACTAAATACTGCAATTTCCCTTTAAAAATGCTAGAATCAAGAATATGCTTTACTTCATAGTGAGTCTGACCTGCCACCACGAGGGGTCCGGGTGCCGCCTTAGGGGGAGGTCTTAAAGTGGAACCCCGACAAGGTTTCAACAGGCTGCAGTGGAAAACAGGGTGGATTTTTCCTAAGAGCTTAGGGAGTTTTAATTCCACCGTGACTGGGTTAATGATCTTTATAATGGGATGTTTTTGCATAGACCGTAGTTTTAAAGACTGGAATTCCGTGTCATCATTCGGTCAGCAAAAGGGTATTGATAATTCACAGCAACTTTCTGAAGGAATCAATGAGAAGTATCTTTAGCACAGTTAGTCTGTTTGTCTTATACACCTGCTTTAGCTACACCACACTGGAGATGTTAAAAGGAGAGGCACCAGGAAAAATTTCTTCTGCAGAGGAAAACCTAGTGTAGTGGACGGAGACCAGAGAATCTCATTCAGTCCCCATGTGAATTGCCTTGCATGTAAATGTAATGCATGATGTAATAGCATGTAGTAATCAATACAATAAGATTGGAGCCAGCTGAAAAACAGTATTCTAAAGGTAGCTATATTTGAAGCCACCGAGTCGTTGGCATAGATCAGGGCTTTTCAACCTTTTCGCCCATTGTGCCACTTTTAGGATATGGCAATATCCAAGTGCCACCAGTCGCCTAGCAAGGTGTCAAAAACTTGATGACCCAAAAAAAGGAAAAAAGTGATAAAGTACAGGTAGTCCTCAACTTACAACAGTTCGCTTAGTGACTGTTCAAAGTTACAATGGCACTGAAAAAAGTGCCCCCCAAGCCACAGCCGAGCAAGACACCTGCCTGTCCACCCGGCGGAGCTCTTCCTGCTGTCCGAGGTTTTCATTGTTCTGAGCATTTCTGTTGAGGATTGGCAGTGAGGGTGGGGTGGGGGGTGTTTGGTTTTTATTCCCCCCCCCATCTGCTGGGTGGTTGCAGCAGGTTTTGGTCACTTCACATGACCCTGGGACACTGTGACCGTCATAAATATGAATCAGTTGCCAGGCATCTGAATGTAAATCACAAGACCCTGGAGATGCTGCAACATTCCAGCTGATCGGCACTTCTTCTGGGCTCAGCAGAAGCGCCAGGATCAGCGCTGAGCTCCAGCTGGAGCCTGGCGCTGATCCTGACACTTCCACTGAGCCCTGACAGGCCCAAAGAAGCACTGATCCTGGCGCTTCCGCTGAGCCCTCACAGCCCTGCAGCTCCAGTCGTCTCTCGCTCAGGCTTGTGCGGTGCAGCCACCGGTTCAGCTCATTCCCCCCCCCCGCTACCACTTTTCTAGGATGGTCGCGTACCACCTGCCAGGTGCCAAGGTACCCCAGGTGGTACCCGTACCACTGGTTGAAAAGCCCTGGCATAGATTCATCCCCAGCCACTACTCAAAGATAATGCACATACACAAAGAGGAGGAGACTTTTACTCAAATCAGTCATGCCCTGTTAGCCTCTTTCCCCTTCGAGGCAAAGGATAGCAAGATAATTCTTTGTGGCTGCCTCACTTCCTAACTTAGCAGGAAGCCAGTCTTAACTTCCTTCCTCCAGCCAGTATTTTAAGCACTCCGCGTAGATCCATCAGTATTCCCAATAAGAGACTGACTGAAGACCTTGGGCACAAATCTATGGAATGATAATTCAACTCACTTTATTTCATTACTAATTTGGGCTCTTTCCCCCCCCCCTCTTGATTAGGATGAGAACGGTTTGAATGAAGGGCAGCCGGAAGACGAGGCTATCCCTGAAACACGCATAGAAGTGGAAATCCCCAAAGTCAACACGGATCTGGGAAACGACCTGTATTTTGTAAAGCTTCCCAACTTCCTCAGTGTGGAACCCAGGTAAAGGAGGGGAAAACCGTAAGCTGAAGCTTGGAAAATGCAGGCAGTCCTTGACCTATGACCACAATCGAGCCAAAAACTTCTGTTGTCAAGTGAGACATTTGTTAAATGATATTTTGACCCGTTTTACGACATTGCTTGCCACGATTGTTAACGTGAATCAGTGCAGTTGTTAAATTAGTGACACGGTTGTTAAGGTAATCCGGCTTCCCCCATTGACTTGGCTTGTCAGAAGGTTGCAAAAGGGGATCCCGTGACGTCCCGGGAACGCCGCAACCGTCATAAATATGAACCAGTTGCCAAGCGTCTGAATTTTGACCACGTGGCCCGTGAGGAGGCTGCAGTGGTCGTAAGTGTGAAAAAACGGTCATAAGTCCCTTTTGAGCCTGGTCATTTGCTCCTAGAGTGAGAACTCTTTTGAGTCGATTTGTGCAATCTTCCTGTCTCGCAGGCCTTTTGATCCCCAGTATTACGAGGATGAATTTGAAGACGAGGAGATGCTTGATGAAGAAGGCAGGACAAGATTAAAACTGAAGGTAGGGCTTCAAACTCCGGGCGTTCCTGTTCTGTCCCAGCCTACGTGAGTCCTTGTGAAGCTCACAAGGGGAAACCTCTCTTCCAACAAGCAGGCTGGAACTGCAGGAAAAAACCAATCCCCTTTTATTATTCACAGACCTGAGTCAGTGTCCAAGGCAAACAAACACAGTTCACAGAAACTCCATCCTCAACACAAATGGTTGCCTTTGGCAACCAGCACCTCCCACATCTTCCCTTTTATTATGCAGCCAAGGCGTGGCTTCCTAATGCCTTCTCCTTTGCCTTTGGAGCTGCCCCACTGCATTCCTCTGTCCTACTCGCTTCTCTTTCCTGTGCATTCGTGCATCCGGGATTTGTCCCAGCTGTTCTTCAGCACTGTCCAACTCAGGCTCCCAGCACAGCTGTGTCTCAGCCTGAGCACGAGTAGAAGGACCCGGCTCCTCATCAGACTAAGTCTTGGAGCTCCTCAAAGCCTTCCTCTGACTCTGATGTCACTCCAGGCCCCTCCTCCTCCTCTGATTGCTCAGACTCAGCTGCCGGGTCCACTGGCTGGCGAGGAATCACAACAGTTCCTCTCCCC